AACGTTTAATCAGGGACACAGAATTGTTACTGAGGGCCACAGAACTGTTACTTAGGGCCACAGAATTGTTACTCACGGACAGACACAGAATTGTTTCTTGAGGGACACAGAATTGTTACTGAGGGCCACAGAACCGTTACTTAGGGCCACAGAAAAGTTAATCAGGGACACAGAATTGTTACTGAGGGCCACAGAACCGTTACTTAGGGCCACGTAAACGTTAATCAGGGACAGACACAGAATTGTTACTGAGGGACACAGAATTGTTACTGAGGGACACAGAATTGTTACTGAGGGCCACAGAACCGTTACTTAGGGCCACAGAATTGTTACTTAGGGACACAGAATTGTTACTGAGGGGCCACAGAACGTTACTTAGGGCCACAAAATTGTTACTCGGACAGACACAGAATTGTTACTCAGGGACACAGAATTGTTACTGAGGGCCACAGAAACCGTTACTTAGGGCCACAGAATTGTTACTCAGGGACACCGAATTGTTACTGAGGGCCACAGAACTGTTACTTAGGGCCACAGAATTGTTACTCAGGGACACTGAATTGTTACTGAGGGCCACAGAACTGTTACTTAGGGCCACAGAATTGTTACTCGGACAGACACAGAATTGTTACTCAGGGACACAGAATTGTTACTGAGGGCCACAGAACCGTTACTTAGGGCCACAGAATTGTTACTCAGGGACACAGAATTGTTACTGAGGGCCACAGAACTGTTACTTAGGGCCACAGCATTGTTACGCGGACAGACACAGAATTGTTACTCAGGGACACAGAATTGTTACTGAGGGCCACAGAACCGTTACTTAGGGCCACATAAACGTTAATCAGGGACACAGAATTGTTACTGAGGGCCACAGAACCGTTACTTAGGGCCACATAATTGTTACTCAGGGACAGACACAGAATTGTTACTGAGGGACACAGAATTGTTACTGAGGGCCACAGAAACCGTTACTTAGGGCCACAGAATTGTTACTCAGGGACAGACACAGAATTGTTACTCAGGGACACAGAATTGTTACTCAGGGACACAGAATCGTTGAATTAAAGAGTATGTCAGACAACATGCAGAGGAGTGGCAGAGGAGGCAATGTTTTAGGAGCAAGCAGACGTGGCAGCAGAGGAAAGGGGTCGACGGCAGCACTATTCGCAGCCAGAGGCCAGTGCCTCCCGGTGTCATCCAGCGGTCGTGTCTCCACCGACAACCCTGCCGTCGTCGATTGGTTGGCTCGGTCGTCTTCCTCTTCCCAGGTCACCTCTGACACCTACAGCCAACGGTCGGTGGGTACGTCAGACACAACCGTTAGTTGGCATGGCCCGGGACCAAGCCCACTGAAATCACGTGTCCTCTACCTGCCCCTGTCCTTTGGTGTTCCCTCACCAAGCGAAGTATCGCATGCTGTGGGCTCAGCCCCACTGTACAGTGAGGAAGAGCTAACAGAGGGCGGTCAGGAACGGGGGGAGACATCCGCCTTTTCAGCAGCCAGGCGAAGAAGTAGTGGCGAGGAGAGTGGCTCGGTAGCCGGTCTAGAGACAGGTCTGTCTCCTGACCCAGACGCAGCCGAGGGGGCTAGTAGTGAGGCGGAGACCCTACTTGATGATGAGGAGGTTGATCGCACTTGGCAGCCTCGTCGTCATCAGGCAATTTCTTCCGCATCATCAGGAGAAGGGGTGGCAGCTTGGCAGCGAGCGAAAACAGTCGGTGGGTTGCCCAGGAGACAGCAGCAGGGTCGCAGCAGTGTCAGTGGAGCCAAACGGCCACGGAGTAGAGCACCAGCTCCACTGCAGCCTACCACCACGGCCAGTAGTGGTGCCGGTGTGTGCACTGCAGGGAGGAAGCAGCAGTCAGCCAGTGAGGAGTATCTTCGGGGGCAAAGTTTCCTACTCGGCGGTGTGGTGGCAATTTTTCGTAAGCCGCCCGAGGAAGTAAACGTTAGCCGTATGTCGACTATGTGGCCAGAAAGTCAAGCGTGGCCAGGGGGCCCATGTTGGGACTACAGCGTTGCGGGCAGCATATGCAGCGTCGCCATTTGGTGGCCTGGGAAAACCGTGATAAAGATACGGCGGTTCTGCCCGCCCTGCTGTTGGCCCCCCGCTCCATCACCCGCTCCGTTACTTGCTCCGTCACCCGACGTCAATCGCCCTCCATCAGCCAGTCAAGGCTCCAACACCTCTGCTGAGGGGAGTTGTCGCTCGTTGGCATCTTCCACTCGTTCAGATGCTCCTTCTCCTGCTACTCCTCTTCACGGATTCCGTCAGCAGTCTTTCTTGGAATCCGTTTCCAAGAGACAACAGTTTGCGAGCACGCACCCGACGGTGCAAAAGCTGAACGTCCTCCTGTCCAAGTTGCTGGTGCTGCAGTCCCTCCCTTTCCAAGTGGTGGACTCAGCACCTTTCCGAGAAATGATGGCTTGTGCCGCGCCGCGGTGGAGAGTGCCATGCCGTCATTTCTTCGCCAAAAAGGCAGTGCCAGCCCTGCATTCACATGTAGAAGAGATGGTGGGCCAGTCTTTGAGCATGTCGGTCTCTGCCAAAGTGCACGGCAGCGCCGACGTGTGGAGCTGTAACTACGGTCAGGGACAGTACATGTCATTTACGGGCCCAATGGGTGAACGTGGTGCCGTCATAGCCGCACCAGCAACTTGGACAGGTCACGCCGCTTTTGCCTCCATGTTTTGTACGTCCTTGGTCCACAAAAGATGTCCGCCTCTACCACCTCTTCTTCCGCCGTGTCCTCAGCCGCCACCCCCGTGCCAAGTCCCATTACCCGACCGGCATATCACATGTGCAGGGCGCAACGGTGTCACGCTGTTCTGCACCTGGTATGCCTTGGCGAACGTAGTCACACAGGGGAGGAACTTCTCAGTGTAATGAACAGAGAAATCGACAGATGGCTGTCTCCGCGCAAACTGAAAATCGGAACCATGTTGACCGACAACGGAAAGAACATGGTGTCTGCTCTGCGTCAAGGAAGGTTGTGCCATGCGCCATGCATGGCTCACGTGTTCAATCTGGTTGTCAAGCGGTTCCTAAAATCCACCATCCCACTGCAAGACATCCTTAAAATGTCACGTAAACTTTGCATGCATTTCAGCCATTCCTACACCGCAAAGCACACCCTCATTGAGCTGCAGCGGCAGAACGGAATTCCACATCATCGCCTGATCTGCGACGTTTTGCAACAAGGTGGAATTCAACCCCTACACATGTTAGACCGCCTTTACGAGCAGCGCAGAAAGGCCATCACCGATTTCCTGATGTTACAAGGGATAAAGGTACTCCCCTGTGTAACTTCGATGTCAGCCATTGGCAGCTCATGCGTGACACCTGCCGCTTGCTCAGGCCCTTTGAGGAGGCCACGCTATTCGTGAGTCGGCAGGACTATGGAGATGAACGACGTCATTCCTCTGTTGCACGTCCTTGAACAAATGCTGTTAACAATGGCTGGTAAGGATGCGGTAGACGTGGCGCACAGATCTCAATGCCACATGACCCCTGTGGGGGCAGGACAGGAAGAAGAGGAGGAGGTAGAGGAGAGGACATTTGTGCTCAGGAATTATTGAGTGAAATGGGTAATTTTTTCCACTCAGCGGACAGGAGTGGAGGAGGCAGGAGCATCTGGTAGAGGAGGAGGAGGAGACAGAGGACCCCAGACGCACCGTGGCAGTATGCTGTGGAGATGGAGGCAGGGAGTCCCTCGCATTCCTTGGCACAAATGGCCCATAGCATGCTCGGTTGCTTGCGTAGCGACAGCCGAATAATAACCATCAGACAGAGGGATGACTTTGGCTGTCCAACTTGTTGGACCCTCGCTACCGTTCCAAAATGGTTGGCCTTTTTCACACCTGCTGAGAGGGAAGGCCCAAAATAACGTACTATAAAAACCACATATGTAGTCAGTTGGTCTCTGCCTTTGTGCGCCAACGTCCCATCCTCAGACACTGTGGGCCCTGTGCGCTCGCGTTCCGCTGCATGGCAGCAGGGGAAGGGTGGGGTGGTAGGTGCAGTGCGAGGCAGCTCCACCAGCAGCGGCTGCCTCAGTCTGCAGTCGATGATGAGTAGCTTTCTTCAGCCAGCGCAGTGAGGAAACTACTAACCAGCCGCGAGCAGCAGCAGCAGCAGCAGCTGCAGCAAGCATCAAGGTGTAGACCTGGAAGCAGGGACCTCCAAAACAACAGGCTTTGGGCCTACTTGGACACAGCACACCCTGCCAACCGAGGTAGACAATCGCCCTTCGACTACTGGGCAATCGCGAAACTTGACCTTTGGCCCCAAACTAGCTGAATTTGCCCTTGCAGCGAGGCTGTCATGCCCGGCCAGTAGGTAGCGTGGCATCGGTAAGGGGAGCGTGTTTAGGTGCGGGCAGGGGTATATTGTAACTCCGCGGAGGACACGACTTGTCCACCCAAAGTGTGGAGAGACTCACGTTTGTGAAAATGAATCAGGCGTGGATTAGTCTGAGGATTTCAAACCACCAGTTCCTGACACAAACTGACTTAAATCCGCCATGAATCATGCCTCAAACATGTGCCACTTTCAGGTCTCCTCACACACTGCTGGTGTGTTCCATTTTGTGTAATAGGGTGCTGGGCAGATTACGGGCCTCCCATAGCTGCTGCCAGGCCCCTAATCTGCCATAGGCCCCCTATATACCGCCTCCTCATGCTGCTGCCAAGTCCCGAGTCTGAAATGGGTCCCCTGTACTGCTGTCTCTCGCCACACTCTGCCATGTGCCCAGGTTGCTGCTGTCATGGGTGCCATCGCCACACTCTAATCTGCCATGGGCCCTGTACCACTTTCAGGTCTGCCTCACACACTGCTAGGCCATGTGCCACTTTGTTCCTCACACTGTGGTTGTTCAATTTTTTTGACATAGGTGTGGCAGATTACTGGGCTCCTATAGTGCTGCCAGGCCCTAATCTGCCATGGGCCCCTGTACCGCCTCTCATGCTGCTGCCAGGTCCCACAGTGTCTCATGCCATGTGCCACTTTTTCAGGTCTCCTCACACTGCTGGTGTGTTGAATTTTTTGACATAGGGTGCTGGCAGATTACGGGCCTCCTATAGCTGCTGCCAGGCCCCTAATCTGCCATAGGCCCCCTATATACCGCCTCCTCATGCTGCTGCCAAGTTCCAGAGTCTGTCATGGGTCCCTGTACGGCCTCCCATTGCTGCTGTCTCCATCGCCACACTCTGCCATTGTGCCACTTTCAGGTCTCCTCACACACTGCTGGTGTGTTGAATTTTTTTGACTATAGGGTGCTGGCAGATTACGGGCCTCCTATAGCTGCTGCCAGGCCCCTAATCTGCCATAGGCCCCTATATACCGCCTACTCTTGCTGCTGCCAAGTCCAGTCTGTCATGGGTTCCCTGTACGGCCTACCCATTGCTGCTGTCCTCCATCGCCACACTCTGTCTTGTCATGGTCTTCTCACACTGCTGGTGATGTTTGAATTTTTTGACATAGGGTGCTGGCAGATTAGGTCCTCCTAGTAGCTGCTGCTGCCCCTTATCTGCCATGGGCCCCTATACCGCCACCTCATGCCATGCTGCCAAGTTCCAGAGTCTGTCATGGGTCACTCTACGGCCTCCATTGCTGACTTGCCTCCATCGCCACACTTTCTGCCATGGTGCCACTTTCAGGTCTTCACACACTTTGCTGGTGTGTTCAATTTTTTTGACATAGGGTGCTGGCCGATTAGGGGCTCCCTGCCAGGATTACGGGGCCTCCTATAGCTGCTGCCAGGGCCTCTAATCTTGCCATGGGCCCCTGTACCGCCTCCTCATTGCTGCTGCAGGTCCACAGTGTCTCATGCCATGTGCCACTTTCAGGTCTCTCACACTGCTGGTTGAGTGTGTTGAATTTTTTTGACATAGGGTGCTGGCAGATTACGGGCCTCCCCATAGCTGCTGCCAGGCCCCTAATCTGCCATGGGCCCCTATACGCGCCTCCTCATGCTGCTGCCAAGTCCAGAGTCTCTCATGGGTTCCCTGTACGGCCTCCCATTGCTGCTGTCTCCATCGCCACACTCTTGCCATGTGCCACTTTCAGGTCTCCTCACACACACTGCTGGTGTGTTCAATTTTTTGGACATAGGGTGCTGGCAGATTACGGGCCTCCCATTTTTTAAAGCTGCTGCAGGTTTCCCTAATCTGCCATAGGCCCCTATATACTGCCTCCTCATGCTGCTGCCAAGTCCAGAGTCTGTCCATGGGTACCTGTACGGCCTCCCATTGGTGTCTCCATCAGCCACACTCTGCTGGTGTTCAGGATCCTCCTCACACTGCTGGTGTGTTTGAATTTTTTGACATAGGGTGCTGGCGATTACGGGCCTCTCCTATACCATAGCTGCTGCCAGGGCCCCTAATCTGCCATGGACCCCAGTATACCGCACACACTGCCTCCTCATGCTGCTGCCAGTCCCATGGGGTCCCTGTACCGGCTCCTCATGCTGTGTCTGCCAGTTCCACAGTGTCTCCTGCCATGTGCCACTTTCAGGTCTCCTCACACTGCTGGTGTGTTGAATTTTTTGACATAGGGGTGCTGGCAGATTACGGGCCCTCCCATAGCTGCTGCCAGGCCCCTAATCAGCCATGGGCCCCTATACCGCCCTCCTCATGCTGTGCCAAGTCCAGAGTCTCTCATGGGTACCTGTACGCCTCTCCAGGCCTCCATTGCTGCTGTGGTGTCTCCATCGCCATTCGGGCCTCCACTCTGCCTGGGGCCCATGCTGCTGCCAGGTCCACTGTGTCTCATGCCATTGTGCCACTTTCAGGTCTCCTCACACTGCTGGTGTGTTGAATTTTTTTGACATAGGGTGCTGGCAGATTACGGGCCTCCCATAGCTGCTGCCAGCCCCTAATCTGCCATAGGCCCCTATATACCGCCTCCTCATGCTGCTGCCACGTCCAGAGTCTCCTCATGGGTCCCTGTACGGCCTCCCATTGCTGCTGTCTCCATCGCCACACTCTGCCATGTGCACTTTCAGGTCTCCTCACACACTGCTGTTGTGTGTTCAATTTTTTGACATAGGGTGCTGGCAGATTACGGGCCTCCTATAGCTGCTGCCAGGCCCCTAATCTGCCATAGGACCTCCTAGATATACCGCCTCCTCATTTGTGCTGCTGCCAAAGTCCAGAGTCTGTCATGGGTCCCTGTACGGCCTCCCATTGCTGCTGTCTCCATCGCCACACTCTGCCATGTGCCACTTTCAGGTCTCCTTCACACTGCTGGTGTGTTGAATTTTTTGACATAGGGATTGCTGGCAGATTACGTGCCTCCCATTGCTGCTGCCAGGCCCGTAATCTGCCATGGGCCCCCGTACCGACTCCTCATGCTGCTGCCAGGCCCGTAATCTGTCATGGGCCCCATGTGTTGTCGCTTGTTAGGGTGCTGGCATATTCCCCGCTCGTTCAGATGCTACCCTCTCTCCTGCAGGCCCGTAATCCTCTTCACGGATTCCGTCAGCAGTCTTTCTTGGAATCCGTTTCCAAGAGACAACAGTTTGCGAGCACGCACCCGACGGTGCAGAAGCTGAACGTCCTCCTGTCCAAGTTGCTGCTGCCAGGCTCGTAATCTGTCATGCGCCCCTGTACCGCCTCCTCATGCTGCTGCCAGGTCCAGAGTGTGTCATGGCCCCCGTACCGACTCCTCATGCTGCTGCCAGCCCCGTAATCTGTCATGGGCCCCTGTACCGCCTCCCCATGCTGCTGCCAGGTCCAGAGTGTGTCATGGGTCCCTGTACGGTCTCCCATTGCTGCTGCCAGGCCCGTAATCTGCCATGGGCCCCCGTGCCGACTCCTCATGCTGCTGCAAGGCCCGTAATCTGTCATGGGCCCCTGTACCACCTCCTCATGCTGCTGCCAGGTCCAGAGTGTGTCATGGGTCCCTGTACGGCCTCCCATTGCTGCTGTCTCTATCGCCACACTCTGCCATGTGCCACTTTCAGGTCTCCTCACACTGCTGGTGGTTTCCATTTTTGTCATAGGGTGCTGTATGGCCTCCGATTGCTGCTGCCTCCACCGCCACACTGTGGCTCCACACTCTGGTTTTGGCCCCGTGACTGCCCAAATGAGTGAATTTTTGTGTTGCGGTGATTCTAAGATCGACGGCACTCATCTGCATGTCATACTGACTGACAGTATTATTTCTCTTCCCCAGCAGACTCCAAGGGCATTTAAATTAAAGGTACAGTGTTCTGCACTAATATTAAATCTCTCTGAAGCCTAGAAACACCCTTTTTTAAGTTAAATTCACAGCGAATATATTCGACTCGAATCAAAATTTTTCCACGAATTCGCCGAATCAGTCAAATCGAATTTTTGAATACTTCGCTCATCTCTAGTAAGGAGGACCTGTGTATGCCTCTGTATGAGGGAGTGTGTTGAAGACAAATCTCACATCAAGTTAAATGGTGGCAGGAGCCCACAAATATGGGGAACTCTGTACAGGCAGTCCCCTGGGTTATGAACAAGGTTCTGTAGGTTTGTTCTTAAGTTGAATTTGTGTGTAAGTTGGAACAGGTACATTTTTTTAAGTGTAACTCCAGCAAAAAATGTTCACATTTTGGATAGCATAGGAAGGGTTAACTAACCATGCAATGATGTAGGATTGCGGACAGGTCCACCGGACAGTAGGTGGCAGCATGCGGTGAGCAGCAAGGTGGCCTGCGTGATGTCACACTGCCTCCATTCTTAAGTACAAATCAGATATAAATTGGATGTTTGTAACTTGGGAATTGCCTGTATTGTCCTTGATGTACCCCAATTGAAAAGACTCAATTTTGTGGGGCTTTTTTGGTAGAAGAATAAACTTGGGTAAGGCAACCTTAAAGTGACAGCTTTGTATTGACAGTTATATCACTCTTATTATTCCCTTACAACTGGTTTCTAATCTCACGAAGTGTTGAGAACAGGTCTAATTGGGCTCATCTCAACAATTACATATACATGCAGTATATCAGCACTAGCTAATAAGTACAGTCCATGATATCTAAAATGAATAAGTGACCAGTGATATATGAGAAATAGATCAATACAAATAGATCAATACACTTGTGAGAATCATAAAAGTCTAATAATCTTTGATATATGTGAAAAATCAATAAGTCCAAAAATCTGTGATATGCAATCCTCTTATTAATCACCACTCTCATCCACCTGATCCACTTGCAAAACCGGCAATTCCAGGTGCACATGCGTGATGACGTCACTTCCAATCAATGCGTTTTGTCATGTGACTTCTTCAGGATGATTTTTTACATTGAATGTGGATTTTATTATTCTTTGAGTAGTATTTATATACTAAAAGCACTTTGGTTATATGGTATTTATGTTATGGGAGTATTTTATTTATATTGAGCTGAGCTTGGTCCTGTCCTGAGCAGAGAAATTGTTCTGAACCAAAGTCCCCACTTTGCACCTGGTGTGGAGTGGAGGAAGATAGAGGGAATCCATTGTAGATATTTAAGGAATGTGTTTGTGACCTACTTTGGAAAGAAAGGGGTCTACTCTCTCTGTTGAGATTTGACTTTATTTATCGGAAGTGGGTAATTTGAGGTGATGGTACACCTATGTGGATTTTTATGTGGATGATTTTAGCTTCTTGCCGACCAGCCACTGTAGAAATACGTTGGCAGGTAGGCACGGCTGGGCAAAACCACGTTTTAAAACGTGCTTTTGCAAAACAGGTAAAGGGCCCGCGTGAGGCATGCCACCGCCCTACCTGCACCGCCGATCCCGGCCGCGGGTGTCAGTCGGCCCATATCATGGGCTGGTCATTACCGGCTGCGTCCCGCCGATTAGCAGCAATCACTGGAAGAGAGCAGGGCTGCAGTAGCTCTGCTTTCTGTCAGTTCCCTGACAGCTCCTGAGTTTCTCTCTCCCGATCAGCATGTCCCCGTGCAGTACACACCCCCGCCCCCTAGTAAAACACTCCCCTCACACAGTTAACCCTTTCAGCGAATACAAAAGTTAACCCCTTCCTCCCCAGTGCCAGTAGTACAGTGTCAGTGTTTTTTTTTTTGCACTGATCACTGTATTGGTGTCACTGGGGATGTCAGTGACCCCAAGTCAGTTCCCCCCCAGTGTCAGAATGTCCACCGCAGTCCTGCAGTCCTGCCATAAGTCACTGATCGCCGCCATTATTAGTATAAAAAAAATTAAAAATCCGAGTATCTTTCCCGCCATTTGTAGACGCTATAACTTTCACATAAACCAATTAATTTACACGTATTGGGTTTTCTTTTAGCAAAGACATGTCGCAGAATGCATTTTGGCCAAAATTTATGACGAAATTTGATTTTTTATTTTTTTTTACTGGACATGTTTTATAGCAAAAACGTCCAAAATATTGTTTTTTTTTTCACAAAATTGCCATTTTTTTTTATAGCGCAAAAAATGAAAAAAACGCACAGGCGATCAAATACCACCGAAAGAAAGCTCTATTTGTGTGAAAAAAAGAACATAAATTTCATTTATGTACCGTACTGCATGACTGCACAATTGTCTGTTAAACTAGCGCAGCGCTGTATAGCAAAAAAATGGCATAAAATTGCAGTATCTATACCATAGTTTGTAGACGCTATAACTTTCACACAAAGCAATCAATATACACTTATTGGGATTTTTTTTACCAAAAACATGTAGC